TTACCATCACGTTCAAAAATGAGCTATGATTGTGCATAATCGCTTTTGTGAGATAAAATCTCCCTAGTGTAGGTAAAGGCGCACTATTCATGTTCACTGTTCATACAGAGTAATTTTGTAATTCAAATATGACGGGGCGGCGGAGGGGGAGAGGGGAACAACGTGTTCGTCTCGGGAGACCGTAATGGTGCTTTTTCTCTATAAGAAGCTCAGCCAAATATATTCACGATCAATCATCAGGACTTTTTTCTGACAGAACAGTTGGAAGCATTTTTTACGCAGCAAGCTATTTTAGAACCACAACTTTGAAAAAACTTTCTTGCAACGAACTTTACAACATGCATCGACCTTGCAATCGGTGGCTTAAAAAGTGCTAAAGATCATAAAACACTTTCACAACTAACATTTTGCGTGTTCAAAGGAAAATCAATGTATTCAGCATCTGCAACTATTATAAGTTATTATGCATTCTACAGAAATATAATGTTCATCAAGGTGGTCGTAGAGAATTTCTGCAAAAGAAAAAAAGGGGGGAGGATGAGAAGGATAGAGTGCGTCAGAAAGTTTTCCTCAAATCGTGGGAAATTTTTTGACACACTGTTATCAGTAAAAGTATCCATTTTTTTATCTTCTGTTGTCTATTGAATCCAGAACTTTTCGAAATTTTTAGCGATTCTATTATAGAATGGAAGTTCCACGAAGTTTTGGAAAGTTTTTTATTTTGTTCAAGAAAGTCTTTTTCTAAACTCATTAGACCGCTTTTTAAAAAATTTGGCGATTTTCAAATTTTGATTTTTCGAATTTTTGTAGCATACTAATAATTGAACAAAACTTCACAAAACTGCAAGTCCTTTCATAGCTCAAATTTAGGAAGGTCTTTCGAATCTCCAAAAATAGAACAGTTATAGACAATTCGTGACAATTTTTTGACGCCCCCGCCCCCACTATAACTTTTCCCTTAGTCATCGTAAAGCTGTTTATCACCGCTGATACTATCCGTTACTGTTTTTACGCATTGTTCGCTACTGTTTTTGCTTTAGGCGGTGTCTCAACACTCAATCATTGTGGGGCTCTGTTTGCTCATATTTGGGTGTTTTCTACTGATCATCTCAGTATCACAAGCCTACCACTCGTTTTTCTACGGCTGCGCATCATGTGTGGCCTAAAATTGCGGTGATTCTTCAGTGATTTCTGATTGATCCGTTTCTTTATAAAATCACTCTAACAGCGGTTCATCCTATCTTTCTTTTGTTACGCTTTTACATATCTCTAATTTGAAATGATATAGTTAATATTCATTTGCTACTTTGATTGAATCTATAGTGCTTGTAAAATCGAAGAAAAATTCCCATTTTCACATAATTTGTGAAATTCTCGAAAAACCTTCAATTTGTCAATTTTTCCTCGAGGATTCTTTCCGAACCGTTGCTTTTCACCACCACTGGCAAACAGATTTTTTTGCTTAAAGGTCTAAAGATCACCCTATATTTCCTCGTCCCCATAGGCAAGAGGATCCTGAAAAATTTTCTTATATTTTAAACTGTGTTCTGCCTTAGTAAGAAATCCATTCCCTTTTCATTTTTGTAATCTTTGACGGTTTTTCGTTTCTCTGTTGGTCTTATAATGATATGGAACCTTATTGTTTCTATAGCGTAAGACTGAAACTGATTTTGGGCTCATCTAGGCCTTTGGTTTGGCCTAAACCAATTGAGATGTTGGGCTTACATTCTGGTTTTTGAGAGATTGACAAGCACCTCTTATTTCGACGAAATTAGACTTTTTACTTTGGGCTGCAATTTTTAACTCCTTATGTAACCGTCGCAAATAGTTTTTCATTGAAGAAGGGTTAGTAATAGTGGAAAGAGTAATCTACAAGGAAAAGTAAGCGCGATTTCCGATAGTATCAGCTGCCTACTCAAAAAAAATTATAGCCAAATAACAGGTATTTAGATTTTTGCAGACTTCGCGGTCCGAAAATCGTGTCTTGGCAACTTAACAACACGAAAGGCAAGCTTGTCTGATCATTAAAAATTTTTGTGTAGCTGACGAAACTTTGCACTTTAAAGGTCAAATAAGTCAAACTTAGAGAAACTTTTACACTCACCCTTTGCAGAGTTATCCAGATGACAAAGATCATGTCGTCATTCCCGTCCTTATAAGGTCAGTTCAGTCAGACGACCACTTTTTTTGGTTGTCGCGCACTGTCTCAGCTGCGGTCATTTATCACTGGCAATGCTGTATTTTGTGTTTCAGTTGTCAACAAGTATTTATTTGCACACTTTTTGTAATCACCGCCATGGGAGTATTGTGCTCTTTGTTCTGTTTTTCCACCACATTGAGTTTGATAGATGTAGTTATTTAGCAAACTAGATTTCTATATTTCTTTCTTATGGATTCTTTTCTTGCTACTGCGACAGCTAGGTGGGAAACATCTCACAAATTTGCGAACACTATGTTATTTTTGTTCTACAATCCGGCAACTCGAATTTTTTTGGACCTCCAAATCTTGATCAAAATATTATAGCAGAAATTTCTATTATGCGAAACGATTTAATGATCAGAAAAGTCCTGAACTCTATTTTTTAAACGCGATCTTTATGTAATTTTTGAACATGATCTTTATGTAATTAGCTTTTATCCATTTTGAGTATGGCCTTATTGAAAATAAAACTATATGACTTTCGAGAATTGGTGACATATAGAATTGATTTTTTCTATGCTTTCCCTAGCTCATTTCGCATCTGACAATGAATTATTGACTAAAGCTAGCTGTAGCAAATAAATTATTCAATATCAGGTCGTTTCAGAAGTAATTTCGCTTTTTTCAAACGGGCGCCACATTTGGTGGAGCAAAGTTTTCTGAGAGATCTTGGAGTCATTCGATGCAGCAACTCATTCTCTTGCCATGATTATGAAAATGTTGCAATATAGTCAATGAGCTTTTAGAGAATAACCAAAATCTGCGGCCTATGCTTTTTGAGATGGTCAATTTTCACAATTTTTCAAAACTTTCTTATCAACCCTCCGAAAAAGCACAAGTAACATCTTTATAGAGCAAACCCTACAGAATGCAAAACTATTCTTTTCTCCTTTCGATGGTTTGTCATACATTTTTAACAAAATTTTAAGTGATGCTACCAATTTCCATACTTGGACAGCTAAATCCTCGTAGAACATCAAAAGAAGAACAGCTCGCGCACTACCCGACGCAGCATGTTCTCCTCTTTCTAATAGATGTTCTTCGTTTCCGATTCGTTTAGTTTTCGAGGATAAAATCACCATAACTCATTTTTTTCAACAAGCCCCGGGTTGTGTCCGAAAAACTCGGAGTTTGATATTTCGAACCCGTAAACTTTTACTTGCTTTGTAAAACTAGTGCTAACTCATTATACCATCTTGGTAAATTCAAATCCCGAATAATTATGATGTTTGATGTGATTGTGGTTGATGTGGGACTGCCAAAATCTGATGGTTTTGTTAAAAAATCTTTTAAGAAATTACGACGTGCTACGAAAAAGTGGAAAAAGTTGCATCGCATTCTATAAGGTTTGCTCTATCGAATTATTGCTTGAACTCCTTCTGAGGATCGATATGAAAGTTTTAAAAAATTGTGAAACTTGACCATCTCAAAAAGCATAGGTCGCAGATTTTGGTTATTTTCTGAAAGCTCATTGATTGCGCTGCAACAACTTTATTACTATTAGAAAGAGGATGAAACGCTGCATCGAATACATCCAAGACGTCTTAGAAACCTTTGTTCTATCAAATGTGGCGCCCGTTTGAAAAAAAAAGCGAAATTACTTTTGAAACGACCTAATAGATACATAAGCAAAAAACAACTAAATAAATAAAGACAATAAATGTTGTTTCTTTGCCCCTTCTGCTTTCAACCCAATCTAATCAACTGTTTCTGATACGAATACGAACAACCCTTATTGCGATTATAGACAAAAATGCTATCAATCCATTAGAGGTGGTCATAGCATTTTTTTGGAAGCGGATAAGGCTAAAATTTTTTTTCGAAGGAAATTTATTAGCGTTGAAAGTTCTTCTATAAGAGTAGGTCTATTTTAGTAAAGTTTATGAAAATATTTTGAATATCCACAACTAGGAGAATGGCATTATTTTATAATTTATATTATGACACTGTGCTCCTGATTGTAATGTCCAAAGTATTTTAAAGCTAAGCCTATACTTTGTAAAAGTTTTGCGCTCTTCGCCATGTGCTAGTAGATCATTAGAGGGTAGAATGAGCCCTAGACTGCCTTCATTCCGGCGCTGTAAACCTTCGACGCCTGTTTGAGTGCAAATTTCTTCTACTTCCTCCTTCGACATACTCCTCTTCTGGCGCAAACAAAACGCTATTGGAGCTACTTTAGTAAAGTAATCTATTCAGCGACAGTTTGGCCAAAAATCCTGCAAAATTAGCATTTATCTGAGCCCGATTTCTACGCTGTAATGGATAAAAAGGCAGTGGACTGCTGCCAAATACAATCCCTTCAATGTACGATAATGTACGATAGTTGCATTAAAATTTGCGCAGTGTTGAAATCATTTACAATGATTATGAAATTTTTTTCAAAAATGGTTGAGCAAATTATCATCTGCCATACCAAATGGAACGCATTATCATGAACTCGGTCAAAACTTTTAACAGAAACCAAAATTTTGTAAAATCATTCCATCTTAAACCTTGTTTTTTTTCCTCAAGTACTATCACAAGAGTACAAAGAGGGTTTCCGAGACAAGACTTCCTCGAATTCACATTCCTTTTCGCTAACTAGAAAAACTGTTCGAAACCCACTTTCCATCTCGGCATTACTTCCGCTTAGTGAATTTGAACAGTATAACCAAATATTGGCATTCATGAGCATCATTGAGCCTTTTTTTCATCAGCAGTGACTCACTGAGTGGAGTTTTTATGAAATTACAATCCTACTTGAACTTGAAAACGTCTACCGATTTACCATCCCCCCCCCCCTAAACGGAATATAAAGTTTCGTAGATTCCCAGGAAATCACTACTGTTTGAGTGTCTTGTGAGTTATATTTCATCTTCTATGAGCTGTAAATATATTGCGTTAATAAACATTGTATCAGATTCTTAAATTTGAAATGCTTTCATTAATCGCTTTAAAAAGCTTTTTATCATTCAATTTGCTCTAATTTTTTCATTTTTCTTTCTTTGTTATGACTGATATCTTACAGTTTATGAGATAGAGATATCCTTCGATTCAACTGGCTTGGCGCCTGGAAGGCGGTGTTTCGTGACCCAATTAAGGCTAGGTAATAATCAGAGAGCAGCGTGCGGGAGAGACGCAGACTAGGTCGTGGGCGCGAGTGTCTTAGTTAGGTCACAAAGCCCCGCCAGCCGCCAAGTCGAATGTCAAAAATTACATTGTAAAGAAAATTTACGATATGGTTGCGTAATTTCTTTCCTCCTCTGATTTCTTTTGAGTATTGCTTTTATACTCTTATAATATATATCGAGGGTCTTGAACTTATATATTAGTAGGTTATTTTTTTGAATCAAAATACTCATGTGGTCAGAATCTAGCGACGAAAAATTCTAAAATATAGATTTTCTTTAATCAAATTTTCTTCTTGGCACGAAAAAAAATATCAGCTTAAGTAAAGCTTGTTGACGCTTGTCAATGATTTTTCCATAATGCTGACGACTGACAAACCAATTCATTGCCTTCCATCGATTTTTTTGAGATGATAGGTTTGCAAAATACATACGACAAAACATATTCCATCAAAAATGCAAATCAGCACTTTCAATATGTCAGAACAAAATTGTCAGTCTACCTATGTCAGTCTTTCCGCCTTGTACCTCTATTGAAGGTAGTTTTGTTACCAGTTAGTGCCCTTCTTATTTTATTCTAATGCTAAGTTGTTGAATTCTATAATACTTCCCAATCGCTTTTCATACTGAGAGACTTTCTTCGGTTTTTGATTGATTTTATTCGAATTTGATTGAAGCTTACTTTCAGCCATAGATCATCGATAACGATGACAACTGAGAAAGCTAGAAGTAGCGCGTGGCGAAATCTCGTCTCATTTTGGTGAGTTCAAAAGAGTCTACGATTTTTCCCTATAAAAGTTCCGTGAAGTCACATTTTGGGTACACAAAGTTTTGTAGATGTCCGGTTTTTGAAGCTCGGACTTTTTGCCACAAAATCGTATAGTTTTCGCAAAACTTCAAGAGTATCAGTCGAACTAAATCCTGTAAAAACTTTTATGAGCCTATGAAACACTTGACAATTGCCCGGAAATTCCGGTGAACTTCTAGGGAACATACCTCCAGCAGTCATTTATGAAAAGTGCTGCGGAAGTTTCCGTTGTCAATCAGTAAGGCGTCATATAGGGAAACGTGTCTCTTAGATTAATTTTTTCAGCATTTTCGGTCTATGTAACAACTTTGCATATATCGTTATGCTTAGTGCTGCACAGGATATTCTCAAGAAAAATGAGCATGAAAGTTATGTTATAGAAAATGCAACAGAAGTCACATGTGTGGTGAGTTCTCTATTACCTTATCAAGCCATGACAGAGTATTATACTTTAGCCCAAAATCACAACACGAATCTGCTCACCAACATCTACAGGCGTTGTTCTTTTATGCAATATCATACCATGTCTTCTTATCAAGCTTCTATGTCCGTTTATAATGCATCGGGTGCCATACTGGTGAATTTTCGTTTACCTGTTGCGTATGTTGGATTTGATCAAGATCATTTTAGGCTTCGGCACAGCACAGTATGTTTCACCCAAGCATCATCACTGATAATCACAGCTTTCGCCGACTCAGTGCCTTTAGCACTGGTGGGAGTATGCTTAGCTTCATTTTCCAGTGGCCTGGGTGAAACCACCTACCTCGGATTAGCAGGGCACTACTCAAAGTGGGTGATTTGCAAGGATTAAGTCATTCATTCATTCATTCATTCATTCATTCATTCATTCATTCATTCATTCATTCATTCATTCATTCATTCATTCATTCATTCATTCATTCATTCATTCATTCATTCATTCATTCATTCATTCATTCAATCATTCATTCATTCATTCATTCATTCATTCATTCATTCATTCATTCATTCATTCATTCATTCATTCATTCATTCTCATTCATTCATTCATTCATTCATTCTCATTCATTCATTCATTCATTCATTCATTCATTCATTCATTCACTCATTCATTCATTCATTCATTCATTCATTCATTCATTCATTCATTCATTCATTCATTCATTCATTCATTCATTCATTCATTCATTCATTCATTCATTCATTCATTCATTCATTCATTCATTCATTCATTCATTCATTCATTCATTCATTCATTCATTCATTCATTCATTCATTCATTCATTCATTCATTCATTCATTCATTCATTCATTCATTCATCTTGTATTTATCTAGACAAACAATTGCTACCTGGTCATCTGGCACCGGAATGGCAGGCTTGGTTGGGTCATTCTCTTACGCAGGGCTAACAGATCGTCATCTTCTAGGATTGACACCAGCACAAGCAATGCTTGTCATGCTTGTGGTACCAGCGTTATTTATGTTCACGTGGGTTTAAACTACTTTGATTTTTCGGGGCTAAAAGACCTTGGAAGTCGGGACTAGAGAAACTAGCCGGCATCCCCAGCTCCGCCCGCCCCACCTGTCAAAACACTATGTCAAAGGTCACTCCCTATTCCCGTGCAAACCTTTCCCTGTGCCCAGTTCTACTTGCCAACTCCCCATCGCCGTCTTGTTTTCGTAATTAGCGCGCTCAATTACCTCCCTGTGCCGACTTCCAGCCCCGTAGATCAAACTTTGCAAAAAAATCGATAAAATCGATGAAGGTAATGTATTTCTAAAATCTAATATTGTGTTCGTAATCAGCATGCTGGATTCCCCCTGTGCCAACTCCCCATCGCCGTCTTGTTTTCGTAGTCAGCGCGCTCAACTACCTCCCTGTGCCGACTTCCAGCCTCGTAGATCAAACTTTGCAAAAAATCGATAAAATCGATGAAAGTAATGTATCTCTAAAAACTAATATTGTGTTCGAAATCAGCATGCTGGATTCCCTCTGTGCCAACTCCCAGCCACGTAGGTCAAACTTTGCAAAAAAATCGATAAAATCGATAAAAGTAATAGATAATTCTAGAAAACTAATATTGCGTTCGTAATCAGCATGCTGGATAACCCCCCTGTGTCAACTTCCAGCCCGTAGATCAAACTTTACAAAGAAATCGATAAAAATCGATAAAATCGATATCGATCGATGACGATGATAAAAGTAGCCTATGACACCCGCCCCGCCCCGAAGTGTATGTGTGCCAAGTTTGGTCCGGACAGGCATACAGACAGACATACAAAGAAATAGACATTCAGTTTTATATATAAGACTGAAAAAGTATGTGGCTCTTTTTCTACTTCCGTATAAATGTGCGCAACCTAATGAAAAGCTCTGACAATATCTGAATGTGTTTTTTTCCAGTTACTTCATGCTGTTAGAGCATACTGATATGATGAAACAAGTGAGCTTTAGAAAATCGAAATCGGGTAAGTCTATCGACCTTGGAAAGAACAATAAGTGAGTCTTCCGATCATCAACGGCGTGGATCAGATCACTCATGATTTCAGGAGCTCAGCAGAAGGATCGCTGAAGACATCATCGTCAACCTCATCAGCTGTGACCTTGACTACTCCGATGACATTTGCTGAGCGGATTGCTTTAGCAAAGGTTAATAATAAAGTCTTCTCTCTAGGCACGCGCAGTACTTGATCCGCTTAGTCCACTTGATCCGCTCGACTGCTTCATCATTGGTCAATTCAGTGGCCAATAGTGAAATGGATGAAGGGGATCAAGCGGATCAAGTGGACAAACACTTCCTTTAGTCGTTTCACTGACGCGCGCCTTACAGTATCCTTCATGGGCTATAGCTTGCTTAACTAGTACTGTATCTTTCAGTGTCTTCTCCGCTATATGATTCCCCTTTTTCTCGTATACTTTGCCGAATACCTCATCAACCAAGGCCTGGTCAGTGTTTTTCAAAATTTGATGGTGTAAATATTGTGTGTAATCCAGCTTGAACTCATAATATTCGATTGCTCTCATGGATTTGGCACCACGCCCGCAGCACAGTATCGCTGGTATCAGGTCAGTATCCATTCTTTTGGGCCCTGGGCATACCCTACGCGATTTCAGTCGCAACGCAATTTGGCAGTACTCCAACCTTTTATTACTCATCGCTAGGGGCTTTTGAATATACGGAAGACAGGGCATTCTATCAACCTACGAAAGTTATGGCTATGTATTTGGGGTCTGCCAGTATTGAGAAGGCATTTGGCAAATCGCCAGATCGCGTGGCGATTGAAATCGCGTGAGGTATGCCCACGGACTGACAGGGAAGTATGAACCGCATTCAGTATTCTAGAAAATTTCTAGTTTTGTTCGACTGTATCCTTGTAAACGTTGCCAAGATCTCACCATATAGCATCCTTCAATTCCTCCTTTAAGTCAAAGTTCTATCGCTATTTTGAAGTAATTTTCCTTTTTTCGTTTGCTTGCTCGCGATTGATAGGTTGGCTAAATCGGAGGGGAGTATGTAATCTTTATCTCCCTGCCAAGAGAAGAATAAAAGGAAGGCAAAGATCGCTCGGAAATTGCTTATTTTGAGTCGAAGAAAACTAACTGTCAATAGTACTCAGGGATTCGCGCCGTGTGGCGGTTCTCCTACAGGCACCAGCGCACAAACGGCCGACATAAACCTAAAGCTTTCGTGCGTCCGGCAAACAACGAAGATTCCGTCTAAGCGGCAAGCAATGTTACCGTGCGATCGGGCGGCAGTACATTTGCCCAAGGAGCGGCCAGCAATGTGCCCGTCTGATCGGCTGACAAGACCCGTGGTCGTGCAAGAGGCCGACAGTAACCTTTACTTTCTTCTCGTAGTTGTCACACGCTGTGAGCCTCAACGGTACCTGCGTGAGATACGACGCAGCGTTTAGGCTGCCATTGGTCATGATATGTCTGCGTCAGCAGCACGATCTTCATTAACACATTGACGACCATGCGGATTTTGAGTTTTCTGCCTTCTGGGACCAAGGCTCTCTACGGATCAGCCCACATTTTTCAACTATAATCACGCACACTGCCATCTACAGTACGCCTACAGTAAATTTGATAGGCTGGCAAAAAATAGAGGAAATCCCTAGATTCAGTGCAAAAGGAAACTCGTGAGGTGAGTTCATCCAAGGATAGTAGTCATTTTAACAAAATCCAAGCCTTGACACACATGGTGTGTCAAGCGGTCCCACGCGGTGGTCATCGCTTGACACACCATGTGTGTCAAGCGGTCGTCAATGTGTTAACGAGAAGCTCGAGGAAGGTACATGAGTTTATGCATAGTCAGAAGTGTAAGTACAGACTCCCAACATAAGCTGTTGGGCCAATGCAGCATGATCCACGTTCCCAGATGTAAAGACCAACATACTCAAAGAGAAGGATCAAGATCCCGTTACCCCAACAGCGAGCGAGCGGCCCACCTTCCCCGCGCAAGCAGCGAGCGATAGTACCGTAAGTGCGCCACCCTTACGCGTACGATCGGCCCTTGACGACTGCACAATCGCACACACCAATGAGCGTTTGCAAAGTCAACAGCATGATCCACGTTCGCTGGCCGCCCGTCGCTGGCCGTCCGCACGCCGCGAGTCCCTGAGTAGATAGTTCCAACATTTTCTAACTAAGAAAAGTTGTGCTGAGGAACAATTTGAATCTATAAAATTTGATGAATGAAAAAGTGAAACGAAAAGACTTAGCGTGTAGTGTCTTTATAAAAATCATCACCCTGTAAAGACGTTTGATAGACAGAAACGCTCAATTGGCAAGAGTAGCCTACAGAACTTGTCTTATTGGTAGAATAGACTTTCCTTGCAATGTAATCCCTTTCTTTCATGAATTAACAAATCAAATTTGAAAACTGTAGCTTTCGTAAATGACCAAAAGCAATAGCAGCAAAAAGGTCATCGAATCGTCTCGTTCTTTGTTTGAGAAAATATGTAATTTATGTGGGGTTCATTACTCAGAAATCAGAAAATGTAAATTTTGGAGATGAGCGGTTTGGGTCATGTCACAAGCAAAGGCCCTTTGTTTTTCCTTTTCGCTAAAGTCGAACGATTTCTCCGACATCGGTCAGTATAGAATCTAAATTTATGAAGCAATAAGCATGCCGAATGAAAGATTGAGAAAATTTTGTATGATATTGAGATTTTCATAACAATCGTATTTATATGATAAGAAAGTTCAAAATTTAACTTGTTAAATTAATTTCTGGACGAATGGTACATATGCAACAGGGCTTACAAAGGAAGGGTACTTTGTGACCGTGACCTTCTAAAATAAAACTTACATCATTAAAGGCTGGTTCGGCAGAATCAAACTCTCTAGATTTTGATTTAGGAAGGTTGCTTGCTTCCCAAGCATCAGAACAGAGAAGGTTCGAGCGCACTACATGCTGTCCCTGCCCAGAAAACTGCCCCTAAAACCCGTGCACGCAAGCCATTCTTACACGCGCTCGGACGAGCCTGCGCTCCCCCTCCTATCGTCAAAGGCGGCATGCCGCAATGCTGTGAACGTGAGGGTCCCGCAACGATTCTACGTCTGTAAGCATGGCGCGGGTAGTGGTTCACTCGTCCAAATTCAAAATGGCCCTTTGAAAAGGCTGGTTTGTGACATTTTCGTGCTCTTCAAAGTGTATTTTCGAAATCAGCGCGTCGAATTACCCCAGGTAAACGAAAAACTTCAGGTCGAGGATTTGCCAAGCCACTGCTTTTAAGTGCATCTTGAAGCCCTGATTCTGAATCTGCCTGTGGTGCCCTCTGATTCAACAGGGTTGGCCCTTATGGGTGGCGTTCACGTCCTCGTGGCTGCCTCGCCTGGTCTGCACCTCTTTCGCAATCGTGCTCTCTATTGGTTGAAGCTCCGCCTTTCCCACGCTCGTGATGGGAAAGCAACCAGAGCACGCTTACGAAAAAGCAAAGCCCAAGCAACGCCGCTTTCCAGCCGCCAATCCTATTGTATCGTTATCTGTTGTGAACATTTCTTGCCATCAAAATTTGCACCGTTTTGATGGCACGAACTCACCATTGTTGTTGCAATGGTCACTTACGCACTACAGCCTCCAAATAAAGTGAAGCTTCAAAAGCAGCATACACCCAATTTTTTGCCTCCTGTGTTTTTGCCGTTCCGGGGCCTTTCTGTGACCCTGATTACAGTTATGAAGTTCTGGGCACCCGTCTTGAGGATGCGGACGGCTTTCAGCACACGGGTGGGCGGAGTCTCATAGGATCTGGGCGGGGTCTGATAGCACTTTGGCTGTTCTAGGCCCCTTATCTCCATTCAAAGACAACATTAGAGGACCGGACCGAAGCAGATGCCCCTCTCGGGGGCTCACATTCAGGATCGACCCTAATCGGAGGGAGTTGTTTTAGCCTGGACACTGCTTTAAGTTAATTCCAGGAAAGCAGTCTTCGATATATCCGCTAAAAAGCTTGGATACTGCGATTCCGACTGCCTAGATCTCATGAAATTGATATGGAAAAAAGTCGATAACTTAGTTTAGGAAGTCACATAGCAGATATTGAACATAGATTTGGAATCAGGGATTCAAGGCGCATTTAATTATTTGCATTTCACTGCAAAAGTCATATTCACCAAGCATTCTTTCCTTGTTAGACATTCAAGATTTCGAACTCAGGCCTCAAAGTCTTCAAGTGCTCCCTAATATGTTTCTATTCTCAGGTTCTGTACCAAATCGGCGTGTTTGTCTCGCGCTCGTCCATCAACTTTATCCAGCTCAACATGCTGCTTATTGCGATGATGCCTGGACTTCAGGTATGCGAGATAATTTCCGAAATATAGTGCAATTTTGAAAACTGATGTTAAGCTCCTCAACACAGTATTATTCCTGTTCAACGCTATCTATGCTTTCCTGCCAAATTTCGCAGTTGTTGCTGGTCTAGTGCTCTATGAAGGTTTGATCGGCGGCGGATCCTACGTAAACACTTTCCATCACATCCATAAAAAGGTAATGTTAATCTATTAACAGATCTGAGCGTTTACATCAATAAGTTGTGATCTTTCATAGGTGGAACCAACAATACGTGAATTTGCACTGTCGACGGTATCACTGGCCGATTCTTTCGGAATCATGTTGGCAGCATTTGCTGCAATTCCAGTCCACAATGCCATTTGCGCAATGCAGTGGTATAGATGAAGAATGTTCTGTATTTTGATTTGGAAGCGGGTAAAGGCCAATTTCTGGCTGCGTAGGGCTAAGCTCTGAGTGGATTCTTCATATGTATCTAGGTTTTGAAGCTGTAAACTGAGTTTGTAAATTGTCAAATTGTGTGTAGAATAGATTTTGAGGCCCTTAACTATTGCCTGCCAGTACACATTCATTATTACTTCTCCACCATATCAGTTTGCAATCCAACAGGCTGGGGTAATCTCAGTACCTATGTCAAGTTTTGCGCAAAAATTGTGATGTTTTCATCACGCAAATTTTGCTTTGGTAGAAATTCGCCGCGATTTTTTGTAAAAGTATCAGAAAACGTCCTTGGAGAGATATGTAAATTCTATTTATCTTTGTTAGCAAGTGAATCTGAGAAAATAGGTACTTTGGTGAATGCAGAACAACTGAAGTGAGCAATTATTAATCGGTGAACAATGTATCTGAAAATATGGTAATGCCAAGATGAACGATAGCTGTAAATAAGTATAATGTACATCCACAGCTGTTAAGAGTCATGCACATGTTTTTATCAAAACGCGAATGGCCTACACAACTTCTAACATGGCGCTATTCCAGTGCTCGGGCCTTAAGATTTCAAAGTCGTAGATTCTGCTCAAACTCGGTCTGGCGGAAGTTATCGACATGTTGATTGCGAATATCACATTCTTTCTGCACACAAAAACATCCGGTGGGGTTACGCTCTGCATATGGTAGCGTCCAAATCACGAATATGGCTGGAATCTGGCTTAGAGTGTCCCACATGCTCATCAGGAATACCGTTTATAATCCTTTTGCATGGTGAAGGATTTTTATGGGATTATGGTATGTGTACGATAAGGGGTCAAAACCAGAGTAAATCTACTTTTCGCGCTGAACATCACTATCATATCGACAAGAAAGCGCCATTTTCCTGACCATGGTGAGTGTACGGTAGATAGTCGAAGTATAAAATGTTCATACATTGCCTATAAGGATATTCAAGTATGCTGTTATTATGAATTAACATGCTTGCTTGTTGCAATACCGTAGATTTATGGTGATTTCCACCTACGAATAGACATCCTTTTCTTTTAAGCCAATTTAGATCCCGAAAATTCACTAAAAGGCTTTTTCATACAAAATGGCAACGACGTTCGCTTGGCACTATTAGCTCATCAGATACCTCGCGCAAAGTTTCAGGCAGGTCTAGACTTTGACCCGCTACGGTAACTTCGCAAATGGCCCCAAAATGCAGAAAGATTATGATATTTGTGATCAGCATGTCGAATGTCAAATAATCCCTCCGGCCCAGATTTCAGCCAAATCTATGATTTAGCCACCTACCATACACTTACACCTTAATCCCAGAAAATAGCGCTATCGCACGAAATTAATGTGATATTCGGCATCAGCTGGTCGAATAACTCCCACGGACAGAGTTTGGCCATAATCACGACTTGAAATTCTTCAGGAAACTGAAACAGCGCCCTAACTTTTTGAATTTTTCGAAAGCTCACCATACACCCGCATAAGCTATCATGAGCTATCATTCACGTTGGACGATATTGGTCAACAAAGGGCAGTAAATAGTGCTGTGCCTGAGAAGGTCGGTAAGGTTGCCGTGCTTATGCAATACTCCAAGAAAGCTTTCTTTCATCCCTTATCAAAAATCCTGATCATAAATGTTAGCCTTCAATTGCTTGAAGCACTTTTGAGAAGTGCGGGAATGATCGCGTTTGGTTGAATAGTTTACGGCCTCCTTGCGTCTTGCGTGCGCGGTGTTCGCAACCGATGCAACCTTCACAATCAGCAAAAGCCCATAGCTTTCCGTCTTCTAGCCCTACATTTCGTCACCGTGTACTTTTATTAACAATCGATTCGATTAGCATCAGCTCTCAAGTATTAGGCAGACACGATCGTGGACTTCTATTTTGGAAGTCGATGAACTGCCAGTCTTGATCACTGGAAAATCTCGGTTGTGAAGGTTGTCTTCTTGCCTGTTCTTGGGAGGCACAAAAACGCTGTTTGTACTTTTACTGTTTCGCGCAGGCACTAGTAAGAAAGATATTCCAATTCTCCGCATAAATGTTTGTTAGAAAGGCTCTTACACTATCCCTGTCACTTTGTTTTCTGCTGTTCTAATTACGTTCGCCTCTTTTGCGGAGATTTTCAAAGCAATATTTCTGGCTCGTACCGTTTAAAATTGTCGTAGCGTTACATTTTAATGCATAAAGTTATTAATTTTCATCGATTTTTGTTTTGACACAAGAGGATGAAGAGAATGGAAGCTGAGACCGTTATGTAACTCCACCCGAGCTTAAAGGCAGTCACTCGTGAAAATTGCGACTGCGAATTTTTTATCTTTCCTTGACCTTCCATATGCGCTGAATCCACGAGTATGCTTAAAATCTCTCAAAATCTTAAGAAAGTACTTATTATGGCATGTTCCGGCTTGGCGCTTGCTGAAGGGGCTGGACGAGCGATTCCCGCTAATTGAAATGCGCTTGGCCTGAACGCCTGCCCAATTATGCAGTCTCCTGCAGCCAGTCGCCATTTTTGGCGGAAATCTCTCCTCCAGCTCCTTCCGCAATCTCGAAGGCCGAGAAAGGCCATAGAATTTTTTTTGGACGATTTCGGGAAATTTTAAGCACAGCAGTGGACTCAGCGCGTAGGAAAGGCTAAAGAGGACGGAAAACTCGCATCGCAATTTTCCGACCTGCTTTTAAAGGCATTGTCCAGGTTGATTGGGTGGTGGGGGTGGTGGGATTTTGACGCCGTACGGGAGCACGGCTCCTGACTAATGCAACAGTTCATGTCCGATTAAAAAGGTGGATTCTGAAGCGAGAAAATCGTTCTGGAAAAGGGGCGGACCGCCAATCCCGCTTTCTTGACAAGTTTTGACGTGGCGAATGCTGTGATCCTAATGATTATTTACGTCAAGACTTGTCAAGGAGGCGGGAGTGGCGGACCGCTTCTTTTTTTCCAGAGAGATTTTCTCGCCTCAGAATCCACCTTTTTCAATCGGACTTGAACTGTGGCAACAGTCAGGAGCCGTGCTCCCGCACTGCGTCAAAATCCCACCACCCCTCAGTTGATCTGGGCAATAGCTTTAAGGGCAGTTTCCGGGCACCTGTCCCCTCACCTTTCCGAAAAAAAAAGACGCTTTGGCTTGCATAATCTTGCCAGCGACCCATCACTGAGCTGGGTTTTTGAATGATAGCATGCAAGATGCAAGCCGTCCATCAATACGGTAGCAGCATCTCGTTTGGAAATGGACCGACTTTACCCAAGTTGCGTTACCGCTTTATAAGACTAAATGCCGCCACAAGGAAGGTTTCGTGCAGACATTTGCAATATGCGCACCTGCACGCAAGAGATGCGCAATTTGAGATGCCGCGTCGGACTATATGTCGCCGCAAGATGTCCTCGTAAGACCATCTCTTGCGGCGACATGTAGTCCGACGCGGCAGCACGCAGCAGCATGCCGCATGCTGCACGAGGCACAGCTTAATTTTCACTGCGACTGCAGCGGCGCGTGCTGCAGCGTGCGCCGTTGCAGTCGCAGTGGAAATTAAGCTAGCTCGCTGAGGAATTTCGGAGAATACGAACGTGCAGCAAATATAGATGTACATCTAACACCGGCGAAGCTGTGCTGCCGTGAGCGTATATTTGCACTGCGACTTCAGCGGCGCATGCTGCGGCGTGCTGGTTTCTTTTGATGCGACCGATTGTCTTCATCTTCTATGAGGTACAGTTATGAAAGTAGGATGTGAGTCTCGCGAAATCGGTGAGGTCGGCGAATTCGGCAGAGATGGAGAAAAACGCAAAGTCGCCCACTTCGTCGACATCGTCGAGAATTTTTACATTTTGAAGTCATGCATGTTTGAATGATGCAAATCATCAAATTTCCATTCATATGGATCATTCAATGTGCGGACAACATTTCTTGCATTGTTTGGCTGCTGGTGGCTCATTATAGGAATGAGAATCCGCCAAAGTACACGATTCTAATTTTAACCTCACAATCTGACGAACAGCGCAGATAGGGTCCTGTGCTAAGCATCAGCCGATAGCGTTATTTACAGAGATTCTAATTTATGAAAACACGCAAGCAAATTTTTTGCTAGACGGGAGAGAAGTGCAAACGAATCTTCAACCTTAAGTGGTCTAACTAAATTTTTTTCATTTAGAACTTCACTGTAAAGTCTTTAGCGCGAAATAACTAGGAGTTTCGTTAACACTGGATTTGAAAACCACCGTGAGTGAAGTTTCGGGTCAAAACAAGATCATCAATATTTCTGCCAAAACCAGCGGCGAGGTCAAGAGCAAAAATCGAGAAAAATTAGATGGCGCCATTTCCTTAGAAAATTTGAGCATAGAGGTTATCCGACCTGCTAATTACAAAAACACATCTGCAAACACATCTGCTACCCATGATAGATTTTTTCTGTTAATGGTGGCTAGACTTCAGGTAAATATAGATTCTAACAAAGTTTTCTAGAACTTTTCGCCTTCACTTCAAAGGATACTTTGCGTCGTGTTTTGCTGCTAAGAACGCGAAGCTGCTGTGTCAAATGATATTTATCTTAAAGACTCTGATTCATCTTATTTTGTCTTCTTCTTTTCTCTCTTTGTTAGTTCTCTATCTACATCAAGTACTGGGTTGCGTCCTAACAAAAACCCATTCGAGAACATAATTGAAGACCTCAGATCAAAACTAAATGACTTTTATATATATCGCGTATATAGTAACAGCGGAAGTGGGCGGAGCTTACAGTTCACAGCTAAAATCGATAAAATCGGTATTCTAAAGATTCCGGAACTCCTAAATCGAAAAATAGGATATTTGGAGAATTTGGAGATTTCGCAAGCTAAAAATTTCGATTTTGCATATGTTGAGATTCACACCTCCAAATTTGAACCCCAAGACTCCATCCACTTCTCAAGACTTCGTCCAATTAACAACAAGCTCCACCCTTTCTTCCCTCAACAGCGACAGCTTATTTATTATTAGCACCACCACCTCCCTAACAGACACTGCAAAACCGTAAATCCACCAATCAAAGCCCCGCCCACTTCACTCAAAACACCTTCAAGTGAAGCTCCGCCCATTCTCTCTCGATTCCGCCATCTGCACTCCAATACAAAACGACCAGAAAATTGCGTGAAAAAAGCGATAAAGTGCAGGAAAACCTCACTTCCAGTTGCTAATATACGGCCACAACTCCTCCAAATATACTCCGCCCATTTCCTTCCTTTCCAAATAAAGAAATTAAGCGAAAATAAAAAAAGATTAAGGAGAAATAAGCAAAGATCGATTTTCTAGCCATTCCTCTTACTTTTACCGAACATTAACCCTATGCGCGGTTCAGATGGCCGCCGGGAAACTGTTACACGCGCTTTGGTTATACAATGAGAAGGGAAAATGATGGGGGAGAAATAGGAAAAATTGCATGGTTCAATCTAAAAATCCGAGAAGCTTCATAGATGGGCTCTCACAGCGCAAGCCCCTACAT